ACACCATGAGCTTCTGAAGAATTTTTTTAACATTCAAATAATATCCAAGAAAGAAATGCAATTCAACTAAATTCAGAATATAGTTTTGATATATGATATATGGTCAAAATAGGAAAATGAATAAGACTTGACCATATACAAATACTATTTTCTCAGAAACGAATGACATTTTTACTTCCAAAATATTGAAAGCACAAATCTATTTGTACCTTTATAAATATAGTATATATTTTGATGTGTGCTTGTATTTTCTTTGACCATTCTGGAAATATAACAAGTATGAAATGAAAATACGAATCTTGGATATTTAGTTTATTTGTACAATTACTTATCCACAGAACAGAACATTTAAACAAATAATCAAAAGTCCTCACTCATACACAATTTGAAAGTTTATTTTCCAACATAGCAGATCACACCCATTCATTCCAAATCCACGCATTCATACAGTTGCATTGTGTTTGTAATGAAAATGAAAAATCAATAAATTCCTTTAATGAAAAGCAGCTAATAGATATAAAAGAGGCAATGGCTGATTTTTTTTTTCAGAGAAATTATCATTGCAATAACATAACAGTTTATATATATATACTGATCAGATATAATAGAGATTATGTATGAATTAATGTTAGTTTGTTTTTTCATTAGCATTTAATTAACTCATGTATTTCATATTTGCATGCAACTTATTATCTGGAAATCAGAATTACAAAATGTAATTTAGTCTTTTTCCAAATGCATATCACATCTTACTATTTTAGTAAACTACAGAAAAAATACATTCAAAGGTATACTTACTTTTGATGCAGTCAAAATCTGGATCATCCTGCACCCATTCAGACCCACTGTAGGTAATGCTGGACATGGGGTCGCCTTCAGGGTTGTACATGCTTTCTGAGCACCGTATAGTTAGCTTCTTTCCCTCCCAAATGAGGCTTGGGTTATCATCCCCAATAATCTCCCAATTGCCTTCTACTGATGGGAGTTCAGCATCCTCTAACACTAAATTAGAGTAAAGTCTGAATACTAGGAGCAGAGAACACTATTAGTAGATATTTTTTCAAATAGTATTCAGGCAATATGTCATTTTACAAATGAGTTGGGTGCATTTCTTACTCTCGAAGCAGTCAAAATCAGGGTCATCCATGACCCATTCCCCATGGGTGAAGGTCACAATAGTACTGCTTTTCCCCTTGGCTGATAATTTTCCCTCTTCACATTCTAGCGTCGCTGTCTGGCCTTCTGTGTAGGGTGGGTCAGCTCCAACCAGGGTGGCTCCCGTAGGCAAGATTGAAGAAGCTGAGACTGGAGTAATGAATAAGGCATTTTGTATTATATTTGTTGGTAAGTTTAAATGCTAATTTGTATAATGACAGATTTGCATTTCAGGTTTCTTCCCTTGTGTGCTTCATAAACAGCTGAATGAAAAGGCAGTGACCTGTATCAGAAAATAAAAATACAATAATGCAGCTAAACTCACCATTAACACACACAAAATGTGGATCTGCCTGAACCCACTCGGACCCAGAGTAAGTGATGGTAGACGAGTTTTCTCCATTTGGATTATACTGATTGGGGCCACAGCGGATTGTGAGCGTCTTCCCTTCCCAGATGAGATTTGGGTTGTCATCTTCCACAATCCAGCCATTGCCCGAAGGTGGAGGCTGTGCTCCTTCCAGCACTTTGGTACAAAGTGTATCACATAAAATCACAACCTATTTCATGGTGAATGTAATCTGTGCTATTTACTATAATCATACACATGTACCTTTCACTTCAAGCATTATCTACAAAATAACTCATATAACATCTGCAAAACTGGAGTTCATTGTGACTAATGTAGAAGTATTCTTGAGAATAAGTAATCCCAAAGTTTGCTGTGAAAGAATTAAGAAATCCTGCATTTTGGAATCATTCACATTCACACTTTTTATTCCATCATCTGCATAATAAACTTACTCTTATAACACTCAAAATCTGGGTCTTCCTTAATCCACCCTGCTTCAGTGTACGTTACTTGGGTGTTGTTCTCTCCTTTGGCTGAGAGAGTGTAGTTCGCGCATTCCAGTATTAGTATCTGGCCTTCCTCGTAAGGAGGCGGCGGGCCCACCAAGGTAGCCCCACTTGGGAGGGCTGTAGAAACTGAGGGGTGAAAAAGAACATTTGCTATTTTCTTGGTTTAGGGTAAGTGCCAGATATGCAATATATATTCTTATTCCTTTTCCCTACGTTTTCTTTTCACTCTGTAAAGGCAGATAATTTTCCATTTTTCAAGTTCACAGTGTGTCATAACCGATATGCAGTTGGCCATTTCTGATCACAATAACTCTTTAACACATTTTACACTCACTTTAAAGGCAATTCTGTATATCGTGTTCTGGGAAAGGGATTTTCTTACAGAATATACTAACAGGTAAATGAAAGTCGGCAAATATTCACAAAAGATAAAATAAACATATTACTAGGTTGCTACTACAAAAGAAAACCAGAATGTAAATTC